AAGTTAGGGAACAGTTTAAATAATTACTTCCAAATTTCACTACAAGAAACATGCTCTACCAGTGTAGTGGTTAGCGAATCGGTTGGATCAAATGCGCAATTGCTAAATCAGAATTCACTGTGAATTCAGAACTCGTTCACAATCGGATTGCAGATGTTGCTAGTGGGAGTATAGATCTAAGCTGAAAATTGGTAAACGTTCTGAACAGACTTCGAGCATCCCTTACCAGAGATATCTCAGACAGGCATAAACGTACTATTCGACAGTGCCATTCAATCTAGAGAGACTTGCTGAACAGGTTTTGGTCGCGGCGCATCAACCCAGACTGCTGCCATATTAAAATGCTCGTGTTCGGACTCAAGCCTCGACACTGACGTGATTTGGAGGAGTCCATAAATTTACCCATGTCATATGATTGAAACTAGTTAAGCCTGCAGGCTACGAGAATAATTTTACGAATTGATCGTTTGTGATGCTTTTTTCCACTGGTATGTGAAACCAGCTGGGATCTAGGTTGCAGTTTTCTGTGAAGCTGTTTGAACGCTCTATAGCAAGAGACCATGAAAGAGGACCAGAATGTCAAAATGGTAAGATAAACTGCAAGTAAGAAAACTACGAAATCAATGAATCAAGAGAGAGTAGGGACAAGTTCAGCAAATAGCTCACTGAACTCTTTCATACTACTGAATAACGAGTAAAGTTAACAGTAAATAAAATGACTGCTAAATATTTACACGTACCTGTTGTTGTGGTGGTGGTTGTTGATGGTGTACCTGAAAGAAAACTGCCATAAATGCCAGCAAAGTTTATTTCCGACAGTAAGGTTGATATCAAGGAATTCTAAGTAAGAAGAAAAAAGAGGGAAGTACCTCAGGAGGCTTATTCCCATCCTGTCCAGGGAAGTGACTAGCTTGATGAGCTACTACAACAGGAAGTAGCGTCAACAGGTAACCCAAGTAATGCATACCTGCAAAGATTTCTTAGTAAAAAAAACATGTAGAAAATTGAATACATGCAGGTTATTAAGTGTTGCACAACCATGTTTACGATACAATTAATAACACGTTTGTAGGTAGAATGGACGCTATAGAAATGAGTAAACAACAGTTACCTTATGAAGCTTGGTGTATGTATCATTTTGCTGCCCCTCTTATCATCTCACTTAGATAGGGAGCGGGTAAGGTAGTTAAGACGCCAAGGTGCTCGAGCAATTTCTCATTTGCCTGGAAGTTCCTCATTCTTCCCGCCAAAAGAGATGCTATTTATTTTTGTAATCGGTTCCAGTGCCGTATAGCAATCTAACAGCTGAGCAAACACATAGTCGTCAGGATAGCAAACTTGCCGCCATACCAGCACCCGATGAAACCCATAGTCAAGCTCATTTCACGATTGAAACTCCCACTGAGAAAACACGGAAAGGTTATTGCGAATAGCAGCAGAATTAACGAAATGGGCCAAATTTTGCAAAGCTGCGGTTGTTAAGATATGTTGGTACGTTGTGTTGAATGGAACGAAAAGCATTTCCAAAGGAGAGATGGGAAAATTCCAAGTAAGCCCCTGGTCTGGTCAATGGGTTGTGAATTAAACATAGGAGCGCATGAACACCAATGAAGTTGGTGGGATACGGAGTTAGCGTTTTGTGTGGACTGTGTCTCGCTATACCTGTGGATCTCCAATTCGGTTCGTTTGATCTTTTAGTTGGTCAACCTCCTCACTTAGAAAATGGACTCCTTTTATTTGTTGAACGTATAGAATTCGTTTCGTTATTAGTGGATACAAAATCTGCTTGTTTCTTCTTAGCGCAGTAACATAGTAATGATCGAAAGGAGATATAGGCATGTGGTGTGTTGGTGCACAACACCAACGCGCACAGCGCATATCACATATGTTTCAGATCTCTGAATCTTGCTTTTCAAGTTCCAAGTGAGAAATTTTCCTAAACATACTCTATTGAATCGTTAGGTCTCTATGATCTCTGCAATATCTCTTTCAAGGACGTCATTTCCTTGTCGTCGGGGAGAGGTGTTGATGGTCGATTCGGTCTGGGTATAGATCACGGCCGAGGTTGATCAATTATCATTCCAGTACTTGCGTTTTTGATACGACACCAAAAGGAGTCAGTATGTGATTGTGTGTGATTGTTTGGACTTTCTGCTAAAGTAGCTCAGTTTTTGGAGCTTCTTCCTACTAGCTTGGGAATTCAGCGAGTTTGTTGTGTGTTTTTAAAGCTTAGTTTGTTATAACATGGCTTTGAGAAGTCAGTTCCTTGTTTCTTGGTTCGTAATGACATTCTTAAGATCTAATGGTAATTCTTTGGGATTTTATCTCCGGCTTAGAGACGTCGTTGCGATTTACACATCTGATAAATGTTACACACTTTATTATTATGATTCTACGTCCATTTAGGGAAGCGCGTTCTCTCCGTATCTCATCTTCTCCTTGTCATATCCTTCTGAGTGTAGAGTGTTGAGTGTTTATTGGCCTAAATGAATTTGCCTAGCCTAGCGTGAAAAAATTGTTCCCCCACTAAAGCGCTATTTGGATCCTGCTGCGACTGTGTGCATTAGTTTAACGCGAATGCACAGTCAAGGGACGAATTGCACGCGTTCAGGACAACATGCAATCTCTCCAGGGTTGATCATTTGTACTTGATTCTTCTCTTAATGTGTCTTGCATTGGTCTTTCTTTGAATTGATAAAAAATCTATTGTTCTAGTCGAATTGATTCAGGTCGTGTAGAGGGGAGTGCAGTGAATATATTGCATGTAGAACATTTAAATTATCTATACTCTGTCTTTGGGTGGTTGATGGGTCAGGATTGTGTGTGTGGGTGGGAGTCCTAGTTAATGCTCGGTTACATTTCAAAGTTCAGCTTGTGTAAAATATACTAGTGTTTTCGCCATAAACATCGATTAGTAGAGCTCCGCCGTTCAGGCAGAGATGTGTAAAAGCGCAAGATCCGTGCAGTCTTTTTGCAAGCAGTGAAGGAAGACTGGAAGACTTGAGTGCATTGTTGCAAGTACGTTAATCATATCAATGTTCAGATGAAAATCCACTCTAACGGATTTGTTCCACACACTCGAAAAGAGATCCTGAACAGTTCAGTGCACTTCAACCAGTTGGCAAAGTAAGCATTTTACAGTCTTTGTTGTGGGAATAGATGTCATTTTCTTGAATTTCCTTCTGTGCGCATTCTTCAATTGCCAAGCGAGGAGTTTTACTCAGTTTTGATCTGTTGCTGTTTGCAGGAGAATTGGTCGCGATTTGAGCCAAACATGCGCCAAGATGGAAAGGCTGGCCGAGATGGCTAAAAAGAAAAGCCTCTTCGATGAAAAGAGTGACATGGATCATCTCTCTAGAGTTGTCAAAGAGGTGATTTTGACCCGCTGTTCATTTTTTGGACTTTATTTTCTAACTAATATAGCAGCTTACTCTAACATCCAACGTTTAGGATATCACTAGCTTGAATAAGCAAATAGCCGCATTGCAAGAGTTCTCCAGAGAACGTAATTCTGGAACAAAAAATCAAGGAACGGGTCATTCGTAAGTTTGGATTGGATTGTTTCACTTTAAGCCAAGGTAATCGACTTCCTGACATTTAGCCAACTGGTCGTTGTTGGTCTGCAATCTAAATTGGCCAGTGTCAGTAAGGATTTCCAGAGCGTACTGGAAATTAGCACGGAAGTACGTTATTATGTGTCAGTGTTCGTGAATCTTGCACGTATTAATTTAGTGATAAATTTTGTTAAGAACTTGAAACACCAAAAGAATAGGCGGGAGAAGTTCTCTAATGCAGATCCGTTGCCTACCTCCTTCCCCTCCTCATCTTCAGGTTCAAATGGTAAGCTCTTTGTTTTTGAAACATTCGTTGATGGTTCTTCTTCTATTCTTCGAAAGTCCATTATAAAGTAATACACTTTTTCGTTTTCAAAGGGAGAATTAAAATGAATCTATGCAATTGCAATTATATCTGTGAAATTCTAAGTAGGACTGCTGAGATATGTTTGGAGGAACTCTTATTTTTAGTACGTTCGCGACTGCTTGATGATGATAACCAGCACGGTGT